TTGACTTGCTTCCGTTCTGAAAAGAGTTACTGGCTGAACTTTCCTCTCAATCCAACTTCCCTTAGAAACAGGATGGACTCAGATTGTAGATATATGTGACACCCCTTCCAATGATGGAAGGAAAAAGGATACATTCAAGTTGGAATACAAGCACACACAGATACACATGCACACATACGCATGCACATGTGCACACACACATACGCATGCGTGTGCACACACATGCACATGCACACACGCACACACTTAGGCAGGTAGTGTAGCCCATGACAGCCTATCATGTTTTAAAATGGGAGAAGCAATTACAAAAATATAATAATTCAGGGTTTTATAAAAAAAAACATAAATACAAAATAAAATAAGCTATTTTTTGGCATCACAAAGAATACTTTTCTTCTTCCTAATTTCAAAAGGAAAGTAACTACTTGATTTCCTAGTGAAGGAAACAGCTGTAAGAAAGGAAACCACCTCCTAGTGCCGTTTACCTTTAATTTACACCCTGCTTTAGAACTTTGAGAGGATTTTCATTAGCACTGTCTCATGATTTCTATGGCAATCCTGTAAAGATGATATAATTACAATCTTCTTATACTGCAAAGAAAGATGGTGGTTTGAGTAAAGTACCAACCACAATTACTTTGTTCTTAAAAAATACAAAAACAAAAACTGGAGTCAAAATTTCATACTTCCCATGACTGGGTGGGGGTCTGTGAATCAGGAATTCGAGACCCAATAGCCACCCTTCTCATGGCTCTCACTAACGCCAGGAAGCCTTCCTTCTCTGTCCACTCCTCCTACTTATTTCAATCTGCTTATCGCTTCAGGCAGAGCACAATTCAGCCCCGTGAATCTTCCATCTCCAGGCAGAGGTAATCTTTCCTTCTCACAGCTCCGAAATCTCAGCGCTGCTTATCTCAAGTAAGACAGGTATTGAACATTCCCATAAAGTCATGACTGTTTGTACCACGAACTCTTCCAACCACCTCACACTCCACTCACCATTGGGCCTGTGCCTGTCTTACTACCTAGTAAAATTCCTTTCACTCTCTGACCCTTTCTCAAGGGCCACATTCCTAACCATCCATCCTTGTCTCCTACTTCCCAGTCAAGATTCAGATCAGAAGCCCCGTTAGAAAGCCTCTCTTCTCTGCCCAAGCCCAAGTCTGGGCCCAGTGCACTCTGCTGTTCTTCCATGGTGGATACTGCATCAACCCAGCCTAAGCAGTTCTGGCTGGCCATTTCCTATCCATCTCTGAACCCTAGAATTCTCAACAAAGACTGATTCATGGTTCGCTATAGTTATTCGTGCCTTATCCTCACATGTTTACTTGCTGGAAGCTTACTCTCTAAGATAGGCAATCTAGAGGCAGTGAAACCACTACATCAGTAGTTCTCAACCTTCCTAATGCTGAGACCCTTTAATACAGTTGCTCATGTTGTGGTGACCCCAACCATAATGTTATTCCATTGCTACTGCATAACTGTAATTTTACTACTGTTATGAATTGGATATGTGACCCCCACAAAGGGGTTGTGACACAAAGGTTGAGAACCAATGCCATGAATTAGGGCTAGGACACTAAGGGCACCCACAAAGAGGGGCAAATCTCCAGCTCTCATGAGTAGGTTAGGTCTTGGGCAACTGGACTATACATATGAAAAGTAAATTCTTATAAAGCCAGCCTGGGTTTGCCAGTGGCTTTCCCGCTCTCTCTCTCATGACATGACCTTCCCTGACCTACTCATGCATTCTTGCTTACCATGATATAATACATTAATGGTTCAGGGATGTGTAACAGACCACAGGACTATGCTGGTAGGACTCTGTGACCACCAGGATTGTGAACTACACAAGCCTATTTCTTTTATAAATCACTCAGTTTCAAATATGCCCTTAAAGAAACACAAAATGGATCAGACGTAATTGAAACCCAGCAGTCACCACAGTATCTGACATGTGCTGGACCATTATCAAATTAATCTGCAACTAGATTTTTTTTTAATTACCTTGTCTTAATTAATCTAGAAACAAAGTTCAAAGTACAGAGCTTTACAAACAGCAAGTACTAGTTAAACAATTATTAAATGAAGACATTTCATTAACGAAGCATCTAAATTAATTATTTGCAGTCTTAAATCAATATTGATTGAGCCATGTGCTATTACTTTGAATACTATTAATACTAATGTGTATTATATGGTAAACAAGGCAGCATTTCAAATTTATGTAGCATATACTAAAACTGACTAGTAACTGGGCCAAACCAGAGTTTCCTCAGTTATTTGTGAAGTCATTTGAACTTATAACGGTCCCTTGTATTCTACTTAGTTACATAGAGCAAATGCACTTAGTACAATTGCCTGTACTAGCAAGCTGTAAACTCCAAATTGCATAATCTCTTTTTCACCTGAGCTCGTCATCTGGTGAATTTCAGCATACCAATTATTGCTTATGAACAAATCCATTTTTGGCATTTGAAAATCTTCACCTGCCCACCATGAAGCTTTTCCTTTTACCTCAATCTGTAAAACTGACTATCTATCTTTAAAATAACAATCATAGCCCACTTCTTCCACAACGCTGTTCTTCATTGGAAAGAGTCTAGCTCCAGCCCAGCTTTTAATTCACACACCCATTCATGTGTGAACTTGCTCACTCACAAGCACTCATTCATTCACTCGGGGGCACCTGTTTCATGACAAACCCTGTGCACACATCAGATTCTAAATGTCCATCTGCTAAATAGATTCGCGTAACCACAAATGCTGCCTTCTGCAATCCTCCAGTCATTTAGCAGTATACAGATTTATGTTAAGGGTTATTATATTAATCATAGGAAGATGAATAGCTGATAAAGGCTTACTACGTCTCTTAAAGTCATTTCTAAATATCATAACAAGGCACCAGAAGAAAAGGAAAACACTCAGAATATCTGCATTACAGTGGAACCAGGGGGGAATAATTAGCTCTTTAAAAAGAACACAAAAATAATAACACTCCAGTAGTAAAAGGCACAAAAGGCATATAAGCAGGCAATTCACAGAATACAAATGTCCCTACCAAATGCACAAATATACTTCATCTCTCTGAAGAACTGCAAATTAAGACAATAAAATTGTGTCCTTGTAGTTTTTCTGTTTGGGACACATGAGCAGAGCTCTCACCCTCAAGGTTGAAAGGGCATTCCGTGGTGTATGAGTATTAGTTACAAAGGCTAGTGGGGTGGCTCAACAGATAAAAGCCCTTGCCTTGCGTTCAGTCCTGCGAGCCCATGATGGAAGGAGAGGACCAGCTACCAAAAGTTGTCCTCTGCCTTCTACACACATGGAGCACACACCCCTGCACTTACACACACATGGAGCACACATCCCTGCACTTACACACACATGGAGCACACACCCTGCACTTACACACACATGGAGCACACACCCCTGCACTTACACAC